TCTCTCTCAAAACTAAATAAAACATTAAAAAATTAAAAACAGGGGCGCCTGGGTGGCTCTGTCGGTTAAGCGTCCGACTTCCACTCAGGTCATGATCTCGCGGGTTGTGGGTTCGAGCCCCGCGTCGGGCTCTGTGCTGACAGCTTGGAGCCTGGGGCCTGTTTCGGATTCTGCGTCTCCCTCTGTCTCTGCCCCTGCCCCACTCGCATTCTGTCTCTCTCTCTCTCTCAAAAGTAAATAAACATTAAAAAAAAAAGAAAAAAACAAAACAACAAGAAGAGGAACTTTGACAGACAGGAGAGTGACGCGTGAAGACAGAGCCAAAGACTGGAGGGACGCGGACACAGGCCAAGGACTGCCAGCCGCCACCAGAAGCTCTAAGAAGCAAAGAGGGACCCTTCCCTAGAGCCTCCGGAGGGAGCGCCGCCCTGCCGGCCCCGTGATTTTGATTGTGGACTTCTGGAGTCCAGAGCGGGGAGAGCACCAACTCCTGTTACTAGAAGCCACTCAGCAGTGCCACGTACTTTGCTGGGGCAGCACCCCCCGCCCCAGGGCTTACTACAGACGACATCTGTGGAGGCAAAAGACTGCTGCCTGCCTCCCCGTGCCTCTACCGGGAGGGGTTTATGGAGAGGGGCTTACCTCGTTACAATAGGAAGGCATTATTCCCAACATGCGAGAATATTGTAGCAGCCTCGAATAAGGCATAAAGTAATTGGGCTGAAAGAAACATTCTACCAACAACGAGGTTACACCTCAGCCGAAGGGGAATCCCTAGACCCATCACGACCGCCCGCAGTGCCTCGTGCCCCCTTTTCTCCAGCAGACGTTCGAGAACGAGGGTTGCCCAACTTTCCCCGAGGGTCAGACAGTGAATGTTCTAAGGTTTATAACTACCCAACTCTACACAAGCAAAACAGCCACAGCCAATATATAAAGAAACGGGCGTTGATGTGCTCTGATAAAGCTTTCTTCACAAATCCGGGCGGCACAGGGCTGGGGACGCGGCCCGAAGGCCGCAGTGTGTAACCCCCTCCGAGAGGCCGCGGGTCCTGCAGGGACGGACTCCTTCCTCCAACTCTCCCAGTGGGTTTTTGCAGAGTGAAGGGAGGATGTGCCAGAAACCGGCAGGGAAGCCGATGGGGCCCCTACACCACCCCCCCCCCCGGAATGTAAACTCCCTGGGGAGGCACACGCCCTCTGTTACAGAAGGAGGCATGTCCCCCAAAGTCCCCAGGTCGGAGCCCTAAGCCCTGATGTGACTGCACGTGGAGGTGGGGTCTCCAGTGAGGGGAGCAGCGTTAAGAGAGGCCATAAAGGTGGGGCTCTAGTCCGACGGGACTGGAGTCCTTCGAGAAGGAGACACCAGGGCTCTCTCTTGGCCCCACAAAGGACCGGCCGCCTGAGGACACAGTGGGAAGGTGGCCATCCAAAAGCCAGGAAGACCCTGCCAGCCCCGTGATCTGGGGATCTGCAGCCTCCAGAACTGTGACATGTAGCCGTCCAGCCTGTGCGGTCTCGTGACGGCCACTCAAGACACCCGAGGAGCACATCCGAGGTCCTCTCCGTGACAGACGGGGACTCCCCGTGCCTCGCACACAGTAAGCGCTCACTAAGTACTTGTGCACTCCGGTGAGGGACAGACGAGAGAGCCGGGAACCGGTTCATGCGGTGGCGACACAAGGCACGAACAGAATAAAACAGGAAGCGGGGTGGGCGGGGCACCTTTCCAACTAGATGACCCGAGGAGGAGGGGGTCCGCCTGGCTGTGGGTCCCCGAGACGTGGCTCCTCGAGGGGTGGCCTCCTGTGTGGTTTGCTGGCGTGGGTGGTGCCAACCTCCAGGCCCCACATACACGGAGCCAACGCCCCGGCCCGGCCACCCTCGGTGCCACTCACTCGTCATATTTGACGTGGTAAATGATGTCGTCTTCGGGCGTCACACTGGAGGTAGAGCTGCAGGGCTCGTCTTGCGAAGGCGCCTTCCTGGTCACCCTGACAACCTGCGCCTCGAACCACGCCCCCATGTTCGTGTCCCGAGCATCCACATAGTCGTTGACCTGCCAGGGGCGAGAAACCGAGGACACTGGTCCGATCGGCAACGCCGACCACAGACGCCGCAGGCTCTCGGGCGCCCGGGACTTCGGGACCGGGATCAGACCCAAGCACCCACACAGGATTCCTTGGCTGCGGCACCGCCGCCATTGGGGCCCGGTCGCCCTCCGGGCGGGGGTGTCCCAGGTGCTGTCGGGGACTGAGCAGCATCCCCGGCCCCCCGCTTGCCGATGCCAGGAGCACCCGGAGTGGGGACAGCCACAGACGTCCCCGGGTGTCGCCAAGTGTCCCCTGGGGGCAGAACCGCCTCTGCTTTGCAGTCCCGGGGAGGCCAGAACGCCCGTCTCTCAAGATAAGCTGGGAACCCAGATCTTTACGTGACGCTGGCTGACCTCAAGGGTGGCAGCGAATTCAGGGGTTTCGCGGCCCCTGGGAAGGGCACAGAAGACCCCCGCACAACCCGGACACAACACTCACCACGCAGGATCACAAGGGAATGCTGGAATATTCTGTTCCCACAGGGATGCTCCAGGAGCCCACCCACTGGCGATTTTCACAGCAGGACCGGGGGCCCAGCCCAGGGAATGAGCAGCCTGCCCGCCCTCCTGGGACCGCAGGTGGGCACCGGGGAAGCCAGGGACGATGGAGGGGCGGAGGGGCAGGGGGGCAGGCTGCCCGGCGGCCTGGGGGCGGAGAGACTGGCCGGGCGGGGGGCGGGGAGCACACTCAGCCCCAGACCTTCTGCGCGAGACCCACCTTGTACAGACCCAGCTCCGTCTCGTCCCACGCGTCTTCATCCGCTAAGCCCGCCTTCCCGTCCGCCTCCGAGGCCGCCTCGCCGCTGTTGGAGGACTTGTCCGACTCGCTCTGGCCCAGGCAGCAGCCAGAATCGGTATCTGACAGTTCAGAGTCTTTCTCCTTGCTGCCGCTGGGGGGGAGCACCAGGCTTTGGCGGACCAGGAGCTGGATGGTGTCGTTCAGGCGGACGTCATAGTCGAAGAGAGTGTGGCCGTCCTCCATCTGCAGAGACACGGAGGCCAAGGTCACCGGCCCGCCAGACACCTGCCCTCGCCCTCCCGGTGCCAGGCAGGACTCCGCCACGAGCACAGTGCCCCACCTGCCCTCGCGGAGGCCAGGATCTAGCTGAGGTTACGGGACGACACGACCTAACAACTCCCGGGGGGTGCACGCTGTCACGCCTTCCCTCGGGGCCCTTACGCCTCCAAAGAGATTCCCTGTGTCATACGGCGAACATTCTGTGAACACACAGCATAACCTCCCATGTCAGGAGAGGTTTTCTTTCTTTCTTTCTGAACGTTTATTTATTATGAGAGAGGGAGCCGGAGAGAGGCAGGGAGAGAGGAGAGAGAGAGACTCCCAAGCAGGCTCTGGACCATCAGCGCAGAGCCCAAGGCGGGGCTCGAACTCACGAACCGTGAGATCACGACCTGAGCTGAAATCACGGGTCGGGTGGTTAACCGACCGAGCCACCCAGGAGCCCCAGGGAGGTTTTCTTAATATTCTGTCTTTTGGGGGCGCCTGGGTGGCGCAGTCGGTTAAGCGTCCGACGTCAGCCAGGTCACGATCTCGCGGTCCGTGAGTCCGAGCCCCGCGTCGGGCTCTGGGCTGATGGCTCAGAGCCTGGAGCCTGTTTCCGATTCTGTGTCTCCCTCTCTCTCTGCCCCTCGCCCGTTCAAGCTCTGTCTCTCTCTGTCCCAAAAATAAATAAACGTTGAAAAAAAAAAAAAAAATTTAAATGTGTGCAGCGTCCCAGGACATCAGAAGGTCAGGCTGTTACAGAACGCAGAGACTCCTGGGGGTGAATGGAACCCCCTAACCAAGGGGGTCTCGCTCAGGGTGATCCTGTCCCCAGGGGACACTCGACGAGACCTGGGATCGTTTCGGTTGTCACAACCGGGGTGCTCCCAGCATGAGCGGGCGGGGCCGGGGAGGCCCCCACAACAGGGAGCGACCCAGCCCCCGTGTCCCCGGTGCTGAGGAGACCCTGTCCTAGATGCACCGATGCACACACCCAACAGTCACCAGTCCCTTTGGAGGCTCTGGCTCTCGCTCGGCCCCTCTGCCCACCGGAGTCCCTGCTAGCAAACCCTCCCTGCCAGCCAACTCCCGTGGGCCACCCTGGGCGCGTCCCGGCAAGGGCGCGTGAAGGAGTTTTACCTTCTGAGCCGCATCCCGGTGGCTCAAAAGGCCAAGGAGTTGTCTTTTGCTAGAAACTGTCCCGGGGCGCTCCGCCAGCTCCCAGCAAGGACCCTCAGTGCATCTAGGACTATCCCGATGCCCCAAGGCAGGTTTCTGCACTGCGGACACATGGGGCCGGACTGTTCCCTGCAGGACCCTCCTGGGCACCACGGGGGAGCGGCAGTCCCGACCCCGCACGCTCCCTGCCGACCACAGACGTCCCCAGACACCGCCCACCGTGCCCTGAGGGCAGAACTCGCAGGTTCAGAGGCAGTGTCCTAAAGAAGAAGAAGGAGAGAAAGGACAGCAGACACGAATCAACTTTCTTTCCTTCCTTCCCGATGTGCCGGAAGTGGTGGTTCCAAGGCCAGGTGGCGGGCGATGTCTCACACCAAAGCGCGGCTCAGGGCCCAAAGCCCCTGCTGCACTGGCTGCTAGTCTTTTCTTTACTGGTCACAGGCCGGAGAATCTGATGAATGATCACCCCGCTCCCCCGGGAGGATGCACCTGGACACATTAACGCTTGCCTACGGCCACAGGGAATTCCGCGACCCCGCTCCCCCCACCTGTTCACCTGGCACGAGGGTGCAGCCTCCGATGTTCCCAGCCCTGCCCACGTGCCACGGGAAGGCCAGGGTCAGGGAGACATGATGCCGGCCCTCCATCACAGGGCCAGCACAGGACAATGCGTACAGGGGACACAGATGGGAAGGAAGAGACCAGACTGGTCAACCTGCACACCCATATGCACCGCCAGGCTCACAGCAGCCTCAGGGCGGAAACAGCCCAGCGTCCATCAACGGGGGGCGGGGGATACACACAACGTGTCTGCCGCGCACGAACACGTCACTCGGCCTGAGCAGGAGCGAGGCGCCCACACCCGCTGCCCCGCGGACAGACCCTGAACACCTGATGCTCAGAGAGGGAACCAGAGACGAGAGTCCACACGGGGTGTGAGTCCAGAACAGGCTCCTCCAGGGACAGGAAGGGGACTCCTGGGTGCC